ACTCACTATGATGACACAGCTGAGTGGAATCTGCTGCAAAGTGCTGATTAAACCTGCGTGCATACTGCTGGCATACTGCTATCATTTGGCTATCGGGGTAATTCTACTACATGAGTATATAGTGAGGAAACAGGAAAAAACTGTATAAGTAAAAATTTATGCTTATTTTCGACAATCAGGAGAACAAACAAGAAATATTAGCGCAATTTATTTAGTCCTGTAGAAGCTTTTTTGGTGCAGTAAATGCGAAACTAGAACAAAAATTAGAAACGTCGGTTTACATGTGTGTCTATCGTCGGTATCTAGTCTCTTAAAATTTACCAATATGCACTTGATGCAAGCACTTTACTGCTTACTGCCCTATCTTTATCGTAACATATAATTAAGTAAGATTATAAACGGATATGATTCTTTTGATAGCTTTTTTTTTTGTAAAACGGACGCATTACTTTACATCTTAATTATATTAGCATTTTATATAAGTTCCAAATTCAATCAACTTCTATTTTAAAGTTATTCTACATTTTAATGTGTTATTTTTATAAACATTTTTTTAACATATAACTAAAAGAATATGTTTAAGATAAAAAAATGTAAAAACATTTATTTTTAAGGACATGGAAAATGTGGCGTAGCGGTAGTAAGAATATCAGGAAACCGGTCCATGGAAGCGCTGAAAAGAATGACGAACACATCAAATCTAGAACCACGAAAAGCTCTTTTGCGAAAAATACACGATCCTGAAACAAAAGAAGTCATTGACAAAGGACTTTGTCTGTGGTTTCCCGGTATGTAAATTTTCCGTATATGTAATCGCTTTTCTTTCTTGTACAACAGCTTCCATAGTTTTCCTATCTAAAAACTGCAATTTAAAAATATTAACAATTAGTAATAAACTGAGAATCATCTCGGATTCTAAGTCTTTTAAACTAATCAATGAATATAATTGGTCTTAAAGCGCCGTTCGCTGGATGTTGTGCGGAGAATATGTTTATATATATATATACATGTGTACACATATAAACGAATTTACATTTTCATGTGAGTTTTTGAATTGTAATTTCAATTCTTTTAAACCATAGAGGATGCTAGATTTGCATCTCGTATATGAAGGACCTCGGATATCCCCCCAAATTAATTTAAAATGTCAACAAGAAATATATAAGGCCTTACGAGCCATTCGCAGGATGTTTGTGAGGAAACTGTGCGTGTATATATATATATATATACACACATGTAACGAATTCTACTTGCAAAGTTTTACAAATGAGTGTTTTTTGAATTGAAATCTCAATTCTTAAATTCATACGGGATGCTGGATTTGCATCTCACATATGAAAGACCCCGGATATCCCCCTAATTTTAAAATATTGCGAAAAAACTCCTCGGCCAGGAGTCGAACCTGGAATCTCCGGCTTTCCGTGCCGTCACCTTCCCTGTTAGGCTACCGAGACACTTGGAGTTTGTCTCGCAATATTCTGTACATCTATTAAAGATGTTCTGATACTGTAATACCGCCTTTTCAGCTTTAGTTTAAATGACTTAGAACCCGAGATGATTCTCAGTTTATTACTAATTGTTAAATTTACGCTGTCGAAAAGGCGGTATTGCAGTATCAGAACATCTTTAATAGATGTACAGAATATTGCGAAACAAACTCCAAGTGCCTCGGTAGCCTAACAGGGAAGGCGACGGCCCATAAAGCCGGAGATTCCAGGTTCGACTCCTGGCTGAGGAGTTTTTTTCGCAATATTTTAAATTAATTTGGGGGGATATCCGAGGTCCTTCATATACGAGATGCAAATCTAGCATCCTCTATGGTTTAAAAGAATTGAAATTACAATTCAAAAACTCACATGAAAATGTGAATTCGTTTATATGTGTACACACATGTATATATATATAGACATATTCTCCGCACAACATCCAGTGAACGGCGCTTCAAGACCAATTATATTCATTGATTAGTTTAAAAATATTAGTCAAACTCTATTTTTATTCTCTCTTTGTATGCTTGACAAAATTTTTTCTATAATCTTGTTGTTTCTTATCGAAATTAACTAGCATAGTTAACTCTTCAATGCCAGATCTCAAAAATGACTTACGAGTTATCCAGACCGGGTTTTTGAGACCTACGCGACTTTAAGCGTTTAAAATACAACTTGACAATTTTTTTTCGAAAAAAGACTTTTTCTTTAAAAATTATTTAATAATAATTTTTTTGTAATTAAGATTTTTACAAAATTCCAACGCAGTTTAGATAAGGAATCATTCGTACTTTCAGGGACAAAAGTGTTGTCTAAAAATTAAAAATGTAAAATAATATAAAAACATAATGTAACATAATATAAAAATTAAAAACATAAAATTAAAAACATTTTTACAATGAGTCTTTTGAGATGGTTTTTGAAGAACACATTTTTTTAGTGCTCAATTTTGACATGCAATATTTTAACAATAAATCAATATTTGGACATATTTCTTTTTTAAATAAAAAGTTTTAACATTTCTGCGTTGATAAAAAAAAAACAAATTAAAAAAATCTCTAGTGTGAAACGTTTCTGCGCGCCATGATCTAATAAATTGCTATAAATGTAGTTTGATAAAGTTATGAAAAAAACATCAATTATTTAATATTAAGAATTAGAAGTGCTCAAACTGAAAAAAATTTATTTTTTGAAATGCTAACGTCTTATCCAGACCTGGGTCTCTTAGACACTTTTCGCACTTCAATAATTCAAACTTTGCAAAGCTATTTTTTTTTCTTTATGGTATAAATGTGCCAGAGGATACTTTGTCCTGTTAGGCTTATAATTACTTTTGCAAAATCAAGCGTTTTCTTTAGACTTAGTTACAGAGTTATTGAGACTCAGGAGGAATATGTATAGGAATATGTATACTATCTCAATAAAGAACCTTCGAAATCTAACCGTGCAGTTTTGTTACTACTATCACGCGATACAGGCTGTCTTTCACAGTGAGCGTGCCTATCTGTATCGGGCTCGTGTTCAAGATATAACTAAGATCGCCTTATGGAAGTGGAATTAATTCGAGATTACACTCGAATTATTTTTTGGAGGCCCGATTTTGTTTTAAACAAAGTAAAGGGGAAAAAAACGCTCGCAATAATAAACACAGTATAGATAAGAAGGTCAATCGAGCAAAATAAGAGGTTGATGATATATATTCAAATAAATATTAAATACATAAAAACCACGAAACGTTTCGTCTCTGACTTGAGACCTCTGTCATAACCAACGAATTTTTCTCAAATTGTACTACGTTGAACAGGAATGAATCTCTTACTAATTCGATTTCTGTCTCTCCTTCCCTTTTTTTGGACAAAACACCTGTCAATCCGTTGGTTTCTACTAATAAGAAATGGTTCATAAACATCTCTAATAGAACTATTCCTGATCATGTGTCATGTATTTTACAACTAGGTGGAAATCATTGCCTTCCTATGGGCAATAATAAAAATAAATTAGTTCGTGAATTTATTAAAGACACTGAGTTAAACATAAAAAAGTTCAACACTACACTGAAAGCCAAAGTTAGAAACAATTTAATTCCTAAGTTGCGTGGGTTTCTTGATAATTTTTCCTTTTCCTTTCCCCATTCCATTGATAAAAAAATGAGTGATTTGTACAGATCTTGCGTTGATTTTGTTAATACTAACCCTGAAATCATCTTCACACGTGCGGACAAAGGCAATGTCACCGTCGCGATGAATATTGACGATTATAATAAAAAAATGTTCGATATCCTTAATGACTCTGATACTTATGATATTGTCGCTCGTAATCCGGTCAAGAAGATTGAGTCTAGTTTGTCTGATATTTTAAAACGATGGTTTAATAATGGTTATATTGACAAACGTACATATTATGCTCTTCGTTCGAGCGATAAATTGTTACCTAAAGCATATGGTCTGCCTAAGATTCACAAAGAGAATATTCCTCTCAGAATAATAGTTTCTTCCATAAACAGCCCCCTCTACTCCTTCGCTGTTTATCTACACAAGATCATTATCAATAACATCCCTGCTGCGAAGAGCAATGTCGTAAACAGTTTTAACTTATATAGAAAACTCTCAGGAATCAAACTTAATAATGATGATGTTTTGATCTCATTAGATGTCATCTCTTTGTTCACTAATGTTCCTATCGACCTGGCGATCAAGGGTTTAAAAAATAGATGGCATCATATAGGCATAAAAACTTCTATTCCACAGAATGAGTTTTTGCTTGCTGTCTCTTTTATTCTTACTTCCACTTTTTTCACTTTCAATAACATTATTTATAAACAGAC